GTCAATATCACAGTCAGGTCTAATCCTTGGATCTTCTTATATGCCTGGTGGGTGTTTAAGCAGCTGAAATTCAGTCTCTCTTAGTTTTCTGAATCGCGAGAAACTTCAGGAATATGGGACATCTGGCCCTTGCCTGTTTGGATATACTCTCACCTGGACACACACTCACACAAGCATAGCAAATTCATGTATACAGGAGGACAAATAAACCCAAAACTTTCAAATGCTGGGTTACAAAATAGTTATAAAAAAAACCTCCAAAACTTATCCATACATTTTTTAGTAAACACTGTTTTCAAGCTTCGGCTCATGGGACCTGCAGAAAGCGGTGTGAGCTGTGAGGAAGATGCTCGAGTCTGAGGTTACTGTCAACACAGAGCTCCCCTAGCGGCTGCTCTGCTGCGACCTTTATTGCATGTCCAAAAATGCTTCTTCCTTGGTGTTTGGGGTTTTGTTTTTTTTCTAACCCTACTCATGATCAGAAGGTGGTTGAAAAGTGATGTGATACAGATCACAAATCAGGAAGGGAAAAAATGGTAATAAATCTGGGACATCCTATCTCAAGAGCAGAAGAAGGTTGGGTTATTCAAAGAGAAAAGACCTAAGAGAAATCTAAGGTGTCTCTGCAAATGTAAATATGTTTTTTGATATTGTTTAGTATCTGGCCATGGGTCTATGGGATCCTGCACAAAAGTCTCCTTTAAAGTTTAGGTTAACACCAAATCTACAACCATATTATATAATGATGAGTTATGAATGATGCTGCGGACGTTATTTTTTTGCGTGTATGATGGAAGATTTATTGACCAAATTCAATGCGATGATTTGCAATAATCCACAAGCAGATGGATATGAAAACTGCAAAATCAATGCAAGTACACACAGATATTCTGAAGAGCTACCGTTTTCCATCTCTCCGCACGCTCGGAGATGCTGCAGCGGAGATGCCTTCAGACTGTGAAGGGGACGAAGGGCACATCAGACCACTGCAGGTCTCAGTTGCGTAACTCCCCAAATCCTGCTCAGAAGCAAAAGTGACTGGACAAATATAAGCTGGATTTTCCCCGTTGGTGTCTGCATTTGGGGCGAAGAGTAAAACCAATTATTCTTATCACCATAACCATATAGATGCCAGCCTGTAATGAAAATTCAGAGTGCATTTTTAAGGTGGATATTGCAGTGCCAATCAAGAAAGGCCAAGACCGACAAAAATGTCCTTCAAAGAGGAGAGTTAAAGGTCCTTATGAAGGAGGCTGAGGGAATGCAAACGAATCAGACAAGGCTTAAGATAAAAGGGCTGCCTGTGTTGCCTTCCATTCGCGCCCGTTTGCACCAGCGCAACCTCCAGCTTCACCACAGTGATCCCTGATTTACTCCTCTGCAAATGATCACTCGGTGCCCACATTTCTTGGGAAACCTCACAGGTGCGAAGAGGCTACAGGAATGAAGCTTTAACACTCTCCAAAGTGATAATTGATTTCCAAAGTCTTATATTAAGGGTGAGTACAAGAGATGGCTGCTAAGGGCATTAAGTAATTACGACTCAGTTAAAAATCAACACAAGTGTTTGCCTCTCCTGTTTTCTAAGGGAAACTCCCCATACTTCAGTGTTCAGGAATAAAATTATAGCAGTGCCTTTATGCAGAGCAAATAACAGACAACAAGAACAGATCTAGAGAAAGATCCAAAATAACTGAGGTCTTTGACCACTGGTATTGCTGACTCTCAGCAGGGACAAGTGACAGCAACACTTACCTTTGTCACAGCAGCAAGTGTGTGCCCCACACATGTGCAAAGGAGCAGCGACGCATGCACCCATGTTGTGTTACATGGTCACAGAGTGACCTTTGCCTGTGGCCTGGTTTTGGCCATGGCCTGGTGCACATGACGTGGAGGTTGGAGAAGCACCAAAGAAGGCCTGGACAGGCTGAGTTTTGGCCTCAGGTCTCCATGGGGTTTGGCCAGGCTGGTGGAGGAGCCTGTACGTGAGCGGGGAGCTCACGCCAACATGGCTTTGCCCAAGAGCAGGGCACAGGGCACTGCCAAGTCAAAGGGAGATGTGCCCAGCTTTGCTTTAGTGCTGGGGGACCCCAGTGGGGCCTGTGTGGATGAGGTGGGTGACTCCTCTGGAGAGGGGTGAGGTGGTCAAGGGACTCGTGCTCATGTGTGAACGGAGCACCTTGTGTGTGGACTTTCTCACCCAGGCATGGCCCTAGACCATCCAGGAGGGCTTTGTGGTGGAAGTGTCCCCTACCCAACCCTGACAGGCATCACAGGATGCTCCCTGCACCCAGAGGCTCTGGGAAACTGAAGGCGCTTCCAGGCCACCCCAAGAGGAGCCTCGGGGACAGCTCTGGGGTGGTGACAATGGAGCAGAATGGCCAGAGGGAGCCGGCCTGGGGTCCCCTTGGCATCACCCTATGTGTCCCATGGCCCTGCAGGGCTCCCAGACCCACAGAGACCCCCTGCATGTGCAGGGATGGGCAGAGACCGTGGGGCCCAGGAGGGGGGACAGGCCTGGCCTCCCTGCCCAGGGAGCAGGAGGGCAGCCCACAGGTTTCGGGGACATCAGGACGCAGCATTGATTTTTATAATCCACGAGCGAGGGACTAATCCCTCTAAAGAGGGCATCAGTGCCCAACCCGGGGGCTGTTGTTGTCGCCGGGTGTTGGGGCTTTTTTTTTAGGTTTTATTTTCCTTTTTCTCGCTTTTTCAGCGCGCCCGGTGGTGGCGATGGGTGCAGGAGGGGGCGCAGGGAAGGACGTTCCGTGCCCCCCCGGCCGGGCTCGCTGCTGTTCCCCTCCCTCTCCTCCTCCCCAGGCAGATTTTGGGGCATAAAAGGCGCGACTGGGGCGCGCGGCGGCGCTGCCTGCGCGGGCGCGGAGCTGCCGCGCTGAGACTGAGCAGAACCTCCGCGCCCAGCTCTGCTTTCCCTCACTTCTAATTTGATAGGAGGGTGATTCCCGGCTTACAACTTTTCTTGATTTGTCCCTCTCCCCCTCTCCCAACCGGCCTCCAGTCCCCGTCCCCCCGCCCCTCCCACCCCCCTGCATTTATTACTTGCATTTAATTAATTCCTTCTTTGCGTTTCCTTTCCTGCTAATCTTTGGGCGACTGCTTTGTACATATGGCAATCTGATAATGAGGGGGGTTATCCTTATTCTCCGCACTTCTTCACTGCAATGTCCACCCGCCCAGGGGCTCCTATATCGATCATCTTTCCTCGGGGAGGGGGACAAGGTAAGGAGGGGGTGATAAAAGATTTGCAGGATCCCACACCATTAAGAAGCGCTTTTATTCCCTGGCACTGTTTAATCAACTGTTATATCAAGTCATGCTGTTTAAGCAACCACATCAAAAGAACGTGCCCTCTTTTGTATAAATTATATATTCCTTGTATCTGTCTCCTCACATGCACACAGACAGGGAGATAAAACTTAAGTTTGTTTTTTAATGGTATGAAGCAGGTATTTAGCTGTTATACAACTTGTTTCTTCAGCTAAGTTGGTTGATAAAAGCCTAGAAGACAAGTTACTGCCTTTGCAGCTTTCCCCCTTCCCCAAGTTAAAGAGGCTACATGTAAAGTTAGGAAAGGCAAATCAGAGATGCAGTAAAACTCTCTAAAGCAACATAAATAACAGAAGAAAAGGATACATTAAAGAAGAGGGAAGAGCACCAGTTAAAATCGGTCAGAGGGCTGTAGACCACTTCTTTCGGCTTTTTTTTTTTTCCTGAAGTTGAGGTAAAAAGATCACTTTGTTCCTTGAAACTCCGTGTTGTTCTGCTCGTTACAGTCCACGGATATACAACTTTTTTACCACTTAAAAACTAATTTTGAAGTCCATTTTCACATGGTTTAAGTTGATTACGACTCCACTGTGTCACAGACCGGAAAACTCTCATATAATTGCTTGTCCCAAAGAGTTTTTTTTTTTCCTTACCTAAAGCTGATTTTTTTGTTGTTTTTCTGTGGGACTGGACTTTGAATTGCTTCAGCATGTCGCCTTGGCATTTTTAAGAACTCTTAAAAAAACTCTTTAAAGTTTCTGGATTCTGGGACAAATTGCATTTTCTTGGGAGCAAAAGTAATGAGGTCTTTGCGGGAACAGAAGTGTTTGTTCATATGAGGCTCTGCTTTTCTGCCCAACCTGCTCTATCAGCCCCATCTCTGCAGTTTTGCTCGTCTCTCAACACCTTTGTCTGATGAGGAGCTTTCGGAGATCGGGATAAAGACATCACTTGCCACGCTGCACGAGATAACAATTAATTTAACATTAAACTTATCCCCTTTCCATTCACTTTGCCTGGATCGATCTCTGTTAATTGTGTTTGCGGATGCTTTCAGCACGACGCTTTTCTCCCAAAACTTAATGGCACCCCGCGAGGAGGTGTAAGAGCCTAAAACGCTTCCCCCATAGGAACAAAGAATACAGCAAGCTGGAATACAGCAATTCCCCCCGCACGGCCGGGAGAGCATCTATATTGAATCAGGTGACTTTTCAGGCACTTCTTAGGAGACAGCAATATTTAGAGCTGGGTAATAGTTCTGGTTTAGGAAAAAAAAAAAAAAAAACACGCTAACTTCCTAACGCTGCCGGCTCCGACCACATTTAGTTTTTTCCCTTCCCTTAAAGTAGCCGCTTATCAGCTAAAAGGCGAGGGCGTTTAGAAACGCAGGTTTCTATGAGGGAGCAATGTCCCTCTGCAGTGGGGTGAAACCTGTTACAAAGACACTTAGGTGGGTTCGTTCTTACATGGGTACCCCCCCCCCCCCTCACACAGCCCCCCCTCGGGCTTTAATATTTCCCCCACACACTCCTATGTACCCAGCCTCATTTTATTTGATTGCAACTGCCCTTAGAAACTCGACTTTCACCGAGGCAGCCTGCTAATCTTTTATTATTATTGTTATTATTCCCTCCGCAGAGGCATCTGTTACTCTTGCTGACAAATGTACCCTTCTGCCAAGAAAAGTTAAAAAAAAAAAAAAAAAACAGCGTGTAATTGATGTTATCCCAAGAAAGCGCAATCCCCACCCCTTTCAGCTCCAAGCCCTTCAGGTAAAAGGAGGGAAAAAAAATCTTTCAAGAATTTGTTGCCTTTTTGAGGGTTAAAACATCAGAAGAGGAGCTTGTCTCGCCTTGGCCAATCAGCACTCGGCCCTGGCAGCTATAATATAGAACTAAAGGCAGACTCCTCTCACAAGCGTCTTGCTTTGCTACCATTAAAATCAGACCCTTTTTTTTGTCTCTCGATTGCTGTCTCCCGACCAAACTCCGATGTGTTCCGTTATCAGCGACCTAAAGGCTGCCATTCCAGCACCTGTCTTGCTAGGGATCGGTGGATAGCACACCATTGAGAAAGCAGACAAGGACATAGAGGCGAGAGAGCTCTAGAGAGACAGCCAGGGATAGGCACAGAGAGCTTTGAAGTAATTGGATTCAATGGACGAAATGCTGCTGTTGACAAGAATTCTCTTGGTGGGCTTCGTCTGCGCTCTTTTAGTCTCCTCTGGGCTGACTTGTGGACCAGGCAGGGGCATTGGAAAAAGGAGGCACCCCAAAAAGCTGACCCCTTTAGCCTATAAGCAGTTTATTCCCAATGTGGCAGAGAAGACCCTAGGGGCCAGTGGAAGATATGAAGGGAAGATCACAAGAAACTCCGAGAGATTTAAAGAACTAACCCCAAATTACAACCCTGACATTATTTTTAAGGATGAAGAGAACACGGGAGCTGACAGACTGATGACTCAGGTAGAGCCACGGAGATACCTGTATTTGTGTTTGTTAACCTCTCTGAGCAACCCTAAAGGACGCATCTGTCTTAGCATTTTTGAGAGACCCCCCTTTCCCTCTCCCCCTCCTCCTCCTGCCCCCCAAACTCGGCTAGTTCCCCCATTGAATGTAAATCCCATCTCTCCAGACAAGTTCGCAGGGGGCTGGAGCTGTCTATCTATATCTATATCTATTTTGGTGGGGGATCTGTGTAATACTTACAGTCATAACCGTGCCATGGCGTTCCCTGTAACTTGGTTAGCGATTGCTGTTTGCGTTTGTCCCCAAGGATGCACTTTGATCAAACGAATTGCGTGCAGCTCAGAGGACCCCAAGTGCACGGTGACCGCCAGGCCACTCACTCCTTGTTACCAGCGTGGTCCTCGGGTGATGCAGCTGCTGACTTTATATTTGATTTGCTCTCTCTCTCTCTTTTTTTTTTTTCTTTTTTTTTCCGCATTTCATTTTCGCCTTCATTATTACTATTATTCTTTTCCTCGCGAGCATATTCTGAATTTAGTAGGCAGGCAGTCGCGCACTCACAAAAGGCAGCTGAAGCCGGATCGACCCTTCCTCTCCTGATTCCGTATTATATAGCTCGTATTGCAATACCATCATTTGCGATTGTGCCCGTCAGAGCGTAAATATATTGATATTTCTTTAAGGATGCTCGCCGCCAGTGCTCTGGTACTTCCATAGGGGAGGGACTTGCAACTTATCAGCATTGCATCACCTTCTGCTTTAAAAAATCTGATGGCACAAGGTTTTACAACTGTGTAAATATTGGATCTCGGGTAGAATCGGATTGCGGAACCATTTTATGCATAAAAAATAAGGGAAAAAAAAAAGGAGAGAAAAGGAGAGGTGACTCTCAGAGAGTCACCTAGTAATTATTATTCATGCTCACCAGAGAGCTCGGTGAAGTCAATTGCTCTGCCAATCCCGGAGTTTCTGAAACTACATGCAATCTAGCCACTGGAAATGGGTTTCCTCCAAATATAGGTCAACGGCGCTTTTTTAATATTAATACACTTAAGCCCCACCTCGCCGGGAAGGACTAGGCGGAGAGTGGGGACGGGGGGACGGGGGACCGTGCGGGGGGCGCGGGGAATTCCCCAAACTCTCCCCGCTGCCGCGGCCTCCGCGTTGCAGGG